AATGCAGAAATTGAGCATTGATAATGGATATATAGTGAAGTTATTTTTCTGTTACCTAACAAAACTACAATTGATAAAAAAATGTCTTCTTTATGTGATTTTTAATATTTTGGAGAATTATGAATGTAGAAAATGAATCTGTCTTTAAGCATAATTTAAACCTATTAATGGTCCCAATATTCCTTAATGTAATTGATACTTATTGGAAGATTATTATTGTAGAGGCAAAAAAGAGATTCAAAGACTCAATGTCTGTTTTTATAATATATCTATTCAATCTACAGAAATGGTTCACATAATTATGGAATTGATAACTTTATAATTATTTGATTGAGTTTCTGAGAGTTACTTACCTTTTATTCTTAAATTTCTTGCGACTATCGCTATCGCTTTCTCGTTGCGTTGCAAGCCTTTCAGGCTCTTTTCTAGAACGCCCAGATCTCCTGATGCCATATATATCAGGATTCTCATCCCACTCACGACTAGACTCATTTTTAAGCCTAACTTTTGTTTCTGTGCTGTGATTTGAACTTTTGCTCTGGAAGCTATCACTTTGTGCAGGTGCATCCGACTTCTCTGATTTCTCAGAATCAGAACCTGATCCAGACCCGGAACCACTCGAGGAGCTAGAGTCACTGCATTAGCAGCCAGGTAATGATTTACTTCACTAATCTTTTTAATACAGTATAAAGTAGATTTTCAAATCATTTTGAATAACAATACAATAATAACTATCAAAGATTCTTTTTAAGCATATGACTAATAACAAATCAGAAATTTAAAGTTACTTGGATACTTGTAAAGTCTTTCTTCTGGTTTGTTTTAATTTAAGAATTTATTAAAAATGACAGATTATCATGTAAAATATTTATAGTTTAATTCTATCTACATTTGTTGGCATAATGAACAGTAAAATATTACATAATATGTTCTCTTAAAATACTTGCTATGCTTCTTCTGTGAAAAATACTTTCCAAGTGGTATGTGAGAATAAATCTGTATTGTGTTTATGTATGACCTAAGGAGACATACACTATTCATCATTTATTGACACAAATCTGTTTACCAGAAAAATGAGTAGAAGCAAAAAACTAGCTTACCTAGTGCTTAAATCATTTTAGAATACAAGGAAACAGGTACTATTGCATGAATAACAGAAATCTGAAGATTATGCTTACAAAAATTTTGAGGGAAACATTAAATTAGCATGATTGTCAAAGCCATGTTAATGCTATATAAAGCTATAGCAATACACAAAGTCAAGTGATACCAATCATTAAAAAGAAAAGCCCTTATGTATCAGAAAGTCGAATACATTATATCCAGAAATGCTACATATATTATGATTAATAATTGAATATGGCTTGCTATTATTAGCACTGCTACTCCAGTGCTACACCAATACAGTAGAAATTACATAATGGGCTATAAACAAATAAAAACAAATATAGAAGCACGGAAGGTTGAAAGAATTCAATTATGCTTTCCTATTATAACAAAGTTAAATGAAAATATACTGTATAAATATATATGCTTAAAAACTTTTGCATGTATCAGACTTTCTGAAGTTAAAGGGGTACACTAAGATAAATTCAATACCCACCTCTCTGATCCAGAACCCGATCCTGTATTGCTTCCAGAGGAAGAGCTATCGCTCTTGCTCTCATTTTCAGAATCAGATCCAGATTCTTTTCCAGATTCAGATTCTAATGTTTTCTGTAAATCAATTAGATCAAACTAACATTGTATAATTTTCAAAAATAGGTATACCACAGTGTTGTTTGGAATAGCTTTCGTTCACTAAGTTCATATACAAATACTTTCAAGTCTCATTATTTATATCATTCAATATAATTGGGACCATATTACATTCAATTATTAAGTGTGCTATTTAGAATAAGAGATGTCTACTAGATTTCCTTTGCACTGTAAGCATTATACATGACTTACAAGTATGTTCTTAATTTTGAAAGAATATCTGATGTATAAAGTAGTGCCATCTACCTATACAAGAATCTTTCCACCATTTTATGATTCTTGTCCACCATTTTGTAATTCTGAAACACTTAATTTCTAAGCTGTTCAATGTAGCCCATATGATTCATGTTACTGGAAGTTTGAAATTCTGTTAGACACTTGTATGAATACTATATTTTAATGCCATTTGGTAACAATAATCAAATAGAAGAATAATTATGAATAATGCAAGAATATGTATACCACTGAATAAACTTTGAAATTATTGTTTCATTGTTATCACACAATTTTTAATATGTTTGTCCAGAATATTATGAGATACTCAAAATTCTGCAGAAGTTTTTATAATTGATTCGTCTAAGGCAGATAAAGCTGCTTCCTGTAAATAACTAGTAAAAGGTATAGTGGGTATCTTAAAAGAAAAGTATAATTCAATGTTTAAATGATTTATAACTTTATTGAACAATTCAGCAAGTACATTTTAAAAAACACTTGACTGAACTTACATTATATTAATGTTTTTAATAACTGTATCAGACATCGGTTCGTGTTAAAATCTCACACACAATAATTTTATATTGAACGCTATGGAAACATATGTATGATATCAAAATGATACCTTGTGTATACTCAAATGTAAATCATCCGTTATTAATAGATTTTGAAGGATGGCTAAGATTAAGCTTTATGTTGCACAAAGTACAACATGATTCTATTTTACGAAGCACAATACTATTTGGAAACATGAGATATATAACTCGTGGTAAGTGCAACTTTGCAAAAATAATATTACACCAACTTCCCATAATAGAAGACTTTTATGTATCCAAAAATTGTTTTATATTTCAACTACTTTGAGTACTGATGCACACAGTTTCTGTGCAGAAAGAATGTAGTTATGACATAATTATTTTTGATTCTTAAGAATGTACATTATATACATCATTAATGATATTCATATCAATGAATAATAAATAACTTCTTTCAGCTGTAAGGACGATACATTTCCTTAGACATTATGTTTACGGCAATGTTTCTATAATTTAATAGACAGCAAAACTCGAAGAATATATCAATCATAC